TTTACCTACCACCCTTGCCCAAACTAAACCTCTGTCCACATTACAGAAAAACAATTAGAAGAGACTTTCTGATTGCAAATATATACATATAAATAATAACACAAGCAGTCAAATTGGCACATTCTTACATATATATTACTGTGCCTTAAGCACAGGCAACTTTACAATTTACAAAACACTTGTACCTTTTCATCTCATTTGTTTCCCACAACAGCCCTATTAGGGGATTATCATCACTATCATAGATCATAGGCTTTAAGTCTCAGAGAATTTAAGTGAAGTCACTCAGGATTTGATTCCTCCTTCTTTTTCTATACACTATCTTTCTTCTCTTTGGCTAAAGAAACATTATGCCACAATCTGAGTATCATGCAATAAAAAGATGAATGTACTAGAGATCCCAGATAAGCAACTTTCATCGGTTACATACTTCATCAAGTTAACAGAGTTACTGGTTATTATAAAACCAATCATAGAAACACAAATTGTATGAATAATTTTCATTAAGGTAGTATGTTAGCAAGGGAATCCCCTAGATTCTACTTGTACTGGCCAGAAAACTAAATCCAAAGTCAGTCATAAGTACAAACTATCTCCTTGGGTATATATAGGATATATAAATTAGTCTTTCATGATTTAACAGTGCTTCAAATAGACATCATTTGCCCATAAACCAACTACCTTACAGCCATTTGCTTCAGAGTGGGTAATGACAGTGGCTACTTACATACATACATTTCTACAAATATCTACCCAAGTTTAACAAATATGTGTACACCCAAACACAGTGATGTGTTTAGCAATAACTTGAAAAATCATTTTTAAAATAGTTATCTTGGCTCTGCACTAATGAACACTTCATGCTTCTCAATGTCCACAAAGAGTAAAATTGTTCTACTTCATTACTTCTACTTCTTTCTACAATATCTACCGATGACCTTCCTACTTTAAAATTTCCCACTCCCACCCTGGCCAGTGTTGCTCGGTTGGTTGGAGCACTGTTCTATAAACCAAAAGGTCATGGGTTCAATTCCTGGTCAAAGCACATACCTAGGTTGGGGGTGCAACCTCCAGTTGGGACGAATGCAGGAGATAACGGATCTATGTTTCTCTTTCACATCAATGTTTCTCTCTCTCTCCTTTCCTTTCTAAAATCAATAAACATATCCTCAGGTGAAAATTTTTAAAAAGTTTCTTTTAATTTCCCAGTCCACTTAGTGAATTGCCCCATCTTCACTTTTTTTTCCCCCTAATCCTCACCAAGGATATGTTTTTATTGATTTTTAGAGAGAGAGGAAGGGGGGAGAGGGGGGGAAGAGAGGGAAGGAAGGGAGGGAGAAAGGAGAGGGAGGGAGAGAGAGAGAAACATCGATGTGAGAGAGAAACATCCATCAGTCGGAACTCGCAACCTACATTTGTGCCCTGACTAGGAATCAAACCTGCAACTCTTTGGAGTACTGGACAAAGCTCCAACCAACTGAGCCACTCAGCCAGGGCCTCATTTTTACTTTTTTAACAGCCCTATCTTTTCATTAGTATGATTTCAGACTTCATTCAAATTTTTACTCAGTGATCTCTAATTACATGACAATTTTCAATGAAGAAAGGCCTCCTAACCTCCTCTAAGGCTGGTGAGAAGCAGCAGTAAGAGTGTGCCTGAGTAGTTTCTGTGACAAGTTATAATCACTCGCTGCAACAGAAATAACTTGATTCCCTCACAGGAAGGTTTAAGAAATAAAATAAAACCAAGATGTTTAAATTGCTTTATAAAGTAACAAGTATCCTATTGCCATGATATTTTCAGGTTGATGTTTTTCTTTTTCTGCTATCCATTTTTTAAGAATATATTTTTATTGATTTTTAGAGAGAGAGGAAGGGAGAGAAAGAGAGAAACATCATTCAGTTGCCATCCAAACACACCTTAACTGGAGATCGAACCCACAACCTGGGGATGTGTCCTGACCAGGAATCAAACCAGCCACCTCACACAGGACACTCAACCAACTGAGCCACACCGGCCAGGGTTCTGCTATCCATTTTTAAAGCTACTGGAGAAAGCCTTCACTGTCTTCTGTATTATGGGTGCTAAGAGTAAAGGATAGCAAGAAACTTACATGACTAATGAATTCTTTGGGGAATCAAGTTCAGTTATTCTCTATATTCCCAACTATCTTCCGGAAGTTAAATAATGCCCAAGAATGTGAACAATACACCTGAACTTTGGAACTCCAAAATGGCTACACACATTACACTTAAAAAAAAAAAAAAAAAGCTGTTTCCCAGGACCCATTCCAGATAAAACTTCCTTTGGTAAAGCTATAAACTACCATTACAAAAAAGTTGAACTTGTTCCTATCCCTTACATATGTGGCTCTTAAATCTGAGATCCTGCCAAAAGGCTTTGCTTACAATTGTATGTGAAACAGATCTTCCAATGAAGCATAAACAATTTTTTAAATGTATATTGCTACTAAGTGTCAAATTTTTTTAAATGTCTTAAACTAGGTGACAGTCTTCCAGGTGGATGCTCTCAGCAGCTTCTTTGTATCAGATGGAAAAGTCACAATTTTGAAAAAATTCTAACAATTTCATTATTTTTACTTGTGAATATTCAGAAATTTTATCTTAAAGTTATAAAACAGTACCAAATGATAAAGGAATTCCGAAATAGGTGCACTCGACTTAAGGCCAGAATTTCATTTTAAACTTGTTAATTTTCCTTGTAATAAATACCTCTGTACTCCAAAACAGTTCCTTCTTTCCCCAAAAAATAATTTCAAAGGACTTTGAAACACTTGACAAAATAGGTTTAATCACTTCCACATATTCCTATCATCCTACAAAGTCATTAAAATATCAGTGTTAGTGCTTTATAAAGGTCCTACATTTCCTAAAAAAGAGTAAGCATTTCTCTTTAAAGAGAAACAAAGCATCTTCCTAAAACTAAACTACTGGAATTGCATCTAACTCACCCCAACTTAGCTCTTCAACTTTACTTATCCAGAAAGCAGAGGGAGACAGTTTATACAGTCAAAACTAGATGAGTCCCTATTCATTCACAGCCTGTTTGCTCTTACTTTAAACACAAACCTACAAGTTTACTTGGTTTTTAATGTAGTAATGGGTGACTCAGAGCAAATTTGCAGGGAGAGGGACTGTTTTAGGCATTAATTTGCTAGGAATGACTATTAAGTGAAGGCTAATTGAAGAAGAAGAAGAAGAAGAAGAAGAAGAAGAAGAAGAAGAAGAAGAAGAAGAAGAAGAAGGAGGAAGAAGGAAGAAAGAAGAAAGAAGAAAGAAGAAGAAAGAAGAAGAAGAAGAAGAAGAAGAAGAAGAAGAAGAAGAAGAAAGACTAAAATCTGTGAGCATTTAATAAATGGTAAGCCCTGTTTATCCAGTCTTAAGGATTGCATCTCTTCTCAGTGTACCGCAGCATAAAAACGATGTTCATAGCCATGTTATGCTTCTGATTAGACAAATACATAAAACACTTTGAAACTACATCTAAAACAGTTACCTTAAAAAGAAAGATATATAGACAGACACACACACACACACAAATGTCCCTTAGGATACAAAAGAGCTAAATTAACCTATCCATCAGCTTTCCAAGATAATTACTTGAGAATTCCAACCAGAAGCAATCTAGGGCAAAACTTTTTTTTTTCCCCTATGTAAACACTTCTGTCACGTGCTTTGGTTGACAGGTAATAAAATAAACTTTGGTCCCTGTCCTTTTTCCTTTATTAAATCTCTACAATTTGTCATCACCTCTGACACATTCAAGGGCTACCGTGAATGATGCAGTGTATTTCATATAAACTTTTGTATTAAAGTGAATCTTCATAGTTAACGTTTTATCAAAGTGTTTTACATTTCATCTCAGAAAATCTTTATCAGATTTTGGAAAGAGAGAATTCTGAAAAACTCAAGTTCACATTTAGTGTAAATTTTTATCTATGCCATGGCCATACTGACCTAACTGTAAGCTTCTATTATTTATAAGCCGTTGAAAACTTCATGCCTTTAAGTATCATCAAAATTCTCAATCAGAATTTCATGCCTTCAACTCACACTACAGTGAAAGATCAAATGCTAAACTCCTAAAAATAGGGGTGCTATCAGTGAGAGGGACACAACACCACTCGGCTGCCAACGCAAAAGTGTCTCGAGAGGGCAGGTGCGCTCCTTGTACACATACATACAGTAGGAACTCAATTCAGCAAAACCGGGGAGCGAAGGATCAGGTGACTTCACACCAGACACTTTCAGTCTGATCGGGGCTTACTATGGTCTGAGTAACTGACTCGTAAACGGCTCGTAACCCAGTTTGACAACTAAATCTGGACTCGCAACCTAGCCACGCGCAACCTCGAGGACGGGTCCGGGGCGCCCCGGAACGCGAGCGCCCAGGCACAGCCCGGCCTGCAGACTGCCGTTCGCTCCTGGAAGGGTGTGCAGAGCTTTCCGACCTGGGAGCGAGGTGCCCGCTCCCCACGCGCGCTCCTCCTCCGCGGGGCCCATCACTGCCCAACCCTCCCTCCCTTTCCGCACCGGGGACACAGGGCAGCGAGTGCCCGCCGAGTGACAGGTCGTCCTGCCGCGCCCGGAACCCTGTGGGACCGAGCCCCGCCGCCGCCGCCGACCTCCCGCGCCCGGGTCTCCGGCCCCGGCTCAAGGCCGCCCCCTCAGGCCGGGGCGGACGCAGCGGCAGCCACGCGGCTGACGGACAGGGGGCCGGGCCGGGCAGAGGCGCGCGCGCCTCCTGTCCACCCGACAGCTGCGGGATCTGCGGCCCGCGGGGCGCCCCTTCTGGCCGTGCCCGGCGGGAACACGGGGCGCGGCGGGGTTTAGGCCCGGCGGCCCGCCGCGGCGACAACTGGAGCGCTGAGCCCGCCGCGGCGACGACCCCGCCGCCTGCAGCCGGAGCCCGCGAGCCCCGAGCGGCCCGCGCCCTCTCCCCACCCGCGCCCTACGGCCTCCGCCCCGCCGGCCCGTACCTAGCAAGGTCGTGGACGAGACGTGGTTGACCCCGGTGCTTGGGTCGCTGGTCCGCCGCCGGCGCCGCAGCCCCTGGTGCGGCTGCTGCCTCCGTGATACCTCGTCCCCCTCCGCCATCTTGTACTGATTTAAAATTAACTCCCCACTGACGTCAAACGGCGCCGCCGCTTTATCAACCTCCCGGGAGCCGGCAGGCGCTGGCGGGTCCTAGCGCCGCCCTCGGAGACGCCTCGTGTCCTCCCCACGCCCTCCCCTGCCACGCCCATCGGCACCCTCGCTCCGCCTCCGCGCTGCTGGCCCGCAGCGGGGCTTTCCTGGCCTTTCCCTGCCTGGAGGAGTTGGGCGGCGCGCCCACCGCCCCCGGCCCACAGCCCCGCAGCCCTGAGCCGAGCCCACACCCCCTTAGCGCTGGGCTGGTCTGCACACACCCAGAAGGGTTCTCCTTAGAACCTAGTCCCTCCTTCCCAAGCCAGTAAACCAGTTCTCTTGACAGCTTTTCTCCGTAAGCGTTGACGCGTGCTTTGCACGTGAGGTTGCTTTCGCACTCCTTTCCTTCTCACCTTTTTATCCCCACCCCCTCCTCCACAGCTGTTCCCCTCCTCCCTCCCTACCACCCCGCCAGCTACTGCTTGCGCCCTGCTTTTCTTCCTGATTTTTACTCACACAAGTCCCTGACGTTGCTTCCCCTCCTGAGACCATCCTATGGTTTGTTTGCAATAGCTCCGGTCTTCTTATAAGACCCTCCCCGTATCTTCCTAACTGTTCCTACCCTTGCCCTCCACCTGCTAGCACCGTGCAGGGGCAAGCCAGAGAGCACTCCAGTCAGAACTTGAATTGTGGCAGCTCCCTTTCTGTGATGAACTTTCTCGTAGGGATCCAGGTACTGTAGAAAGTTCAGGTTCTTTAAAAAATAGCCTGTGAGCCCTGGCTGGGTAGCTTAATTGGTTGGAGCATCTTTCCAATAAGTCAAGGTTATGGGTTTGATCCCTGGTTGGAGCACATAGAAGAAATCAACCAATGAATGCAAGTAGAACAACAAATCGATTTCTCTCTCTCTCTCATAGCAATACATTTTTAAAAATTTAAATAGCCTGTGGAGACTTCTGTGATATACAGTATCTATTCTTTTGGGTTTTCACCATATCAGCAATTGCATTAGAAATTCCTTTTCTCTAGGAACAGACTGATGGTTGTCAGAGGGGAGGGGAGTTGTGAGACCGGATGAAGAAGGATTAAGAAGTACAAACTGGTAGTTACAAAATAGTCATGGAGATGTAAAGTACAGCATAGGGAATATAGTCAACAATATTGTGATAACTGTGTATGGTGCCAGGTGGGTACTGGAAATATCAGAGGGAACACTTTGTAAAAATATGATTATCTAACCACTATGCTATAAACCTGAAACTAATACAAAATAATATTGAATGTAAACAGTAATTAAAAAATAAAATTAGGCCCTGTCTGGTTTGGCTCCGTGGTTAGAGCATTGTGGGTTTGATTCTAATCAAGGGCACATACCTAGGTTGCAGGTTTGATTCCTGGCCTGGTCCAGTAGTGCAGGAGGCAACCAATCGATGTGTCTCTCTCACATCAATGCCTCTCTCTCTCTCTCTCTCTCTCTCTCCCCCTCCCACCTTTCCACTCTCTCTAAAAATCAGTGTAAAAAAATATCCTTGGGTGAGAATAGACAAAAAGAAAGAAAGAAAGAAAATTCTCTCTCCTTCTTCATCATGTGCCCCTCTCCCACTTCTCTCTCTCTCTCTCTCTCTCTCTCTCTCTCTCTCTCTCTCCCCCCCCCCCCCAAGCCATTTACAGCCACAGTGAAATGGTCATTTGCAAGCCAGGAAGACACTAGACACCAACCCTGATGGCACTTTCATCTTGGACTTCTTACCTCCAGAAATGTGAAAAAATGTCAATTTTTCCCTGGATTTTTTTTTTATCCTCACCTGAGAACATTTGTCCATTTTTTGTTCAGATAGAGTGGGAGGAAGAGAGAGCGAGAGAGAGAAACATTGCCGTGAAAGGGACACATTGAGTGGCTGCCACCCGCACAACCAACCAGGGCCAGGGACAAACCACAATCGATGTACGCACCCTTAGCGGGAACCAAACCCAGGTCTCTCTGGACCACAGGTCGATGCTCTAACCACTGAGGCAAACCGGCCAGGGTGAGAAAATGTCAATTTTTTAAAAATTTATTTTAGAGAGAAGAAGGGAGAGAGAGAGAAAAAAAAAAAATGGCCTGCCATCCCACTCATTTGTGCACTCATTTGTTGCTTTTTGTGCCCTGACCGGGGATCAAACCCACAACCTTGGTGTATCGGGACAACACTCTAACAAACTGAGCAACCCAGCCAGGACAGAAAATGTCTATTGTTAAAGCCACTCCATCTGTGGTATTTTGTTTTGGCAGCTGGAGCTGACTAATAAAGTGTGCATTATTAATCCAGCTATCATTGTGGGCAACTGAAGTGTAATTTTGCAGGGAAATTCTGGGAATTGGTACACCTAAGTTTTATCTCTACCCAAGGGATGAAGTAGCTAGGATTTCTGCACATCAACTCATAACAGAGCTTGGCTGATGACTGCTCCCTTGGGTTATTAATTTCTCCTAACATCTAGATACACAGTAACTTCCCACAATTTAAGGGGGGAAAGGGGACCTCAGAAACACATGCAGATACCAGCCTTTGGAAACTTGGTGCCGTTAGTGAGACTATTGACGGAGATTTGATGCATTTGAAGCTGCATATAATAAACTTACTCCAAGGCAGTTTCAGAAGCTGTCCAGGAGATTTGACCTTATTCAAATCAACATCTACTCTTTCATCTGCATCTTGCTTCCTTCCCCTGACCCTTTCACCTAACCACAGCAACCTATCACTAGGGCACGCAGTATGTGTTCTGTGCCTCAATCACACCAAAGTTATACCGGTAAATGACTGCAAAAGCCCTTCATGCAAATCTTGAAAATCAATTACAGAACTCTATGAAGTAAAAAAGAAAAAAATTTTTAAGAAATTTCTTTCTCTGGTAAAGACAGGTAGACAGGTGTCAAAATTACTGTCTCGTGCAGGTTTTCTCACATGTCTAAAACTCACAGCCTTTACCCTGCATGATCTCTAGGAAAGGATTGGTGTCGACGAAGCTTGCAGTGTGCCATTCTACCGGTGTTTTGTAGGGCTGGTGGTTTTTTCACTTGTTTTCTTTCTTTATGGAAAGGGGTTTGGAGCTCCTCCTGGACTTTCTAACTCCCTGCATCCTGGTTCAATACCCCTGGGGCAGCCTAAGCCCCAAGCCATAAATTTTGCTTGATGATGGATTTCCTTTCATAATTTCTCTATGCGGCATCTACTTAATAGTGTCCACAGTCTGCTTCATGCAAGGTATCATCTTGGGCATGAGAGAGGATGCAATGATGAGTATTTTTGCTGTCAAAAATAAACTTCCAGATAGAATTAGTAATTTAGCACTGAATGAACTCCAGCAGGGACACCACTCCCAAGAGAGTTGGCCAGTGGGTGTCCTAACTGGTGTCTTTCCTACTATAGTAGTCCCTCCCTAATCTGAGAAAGGAGTACATTCTAAGATCCCCAGTGGATGTCTAAAACCATGGATAGAACTGGACCCTGTACATACTATGTTTTCTCATGTATGTACATACTTATGATAAAGTTCAATTTATAAATTAGACACAGTAAGATATAAATAACAGCAATAATAAAATAGAACAGCTATAACAATACACTGTAATACAATCTATATGAATGGCTTTGGGGCCATTGTTAAATTAAATAAGGGTGATTTGAACACAAGCACTGTGATACCATGACAGTCAAACTGATACCTAGACCACTACTAAGTGACTAGCAGGACAGCATGAGATTTCATCTACAATCCTCAGAAGAGTGTGCAAATTAAAACTTATAAATTGTTCATCTCCAGGTAGACATTGTAAAAACGTCCTGCTGCTTGCCTTTTTCCTGCAGATCCTCCACACAGCCCTAGGCTTGAGTTTTCTTAGGTGAAAATCTGATCATGTGACTCCTCTGCTCAGGATAAAGTCCAACCTTTCAGAATAGTCCTTTCATGTTTTGGGCCCAACCTGTGTATCGAGCCTCATTTTTCACTACTCTGTCAATTAGTTCTTCATTCTTTCATTTAGCAAATGAATTATGACACCATTGAAATGCTAAGAGACAAGTAATGAACAAGACAGACAAAAATTGGTTTCCTTGTTTTTTGTCTGTTTCCACACTGCACACAGACCCCTCCACCACAACTAAGTGAGGTCCAGAAGCTCAAAGATCGCTATGTACCAGTGCCTAGTACATAGAGAGACCTCAAAAAAATCTGTGGAATGAATGAATGAGTTATAATTCTGATTCTACCACTGATTCTCTTAATGTTTCTAAACTTCCAGGTCCTCATTTTTTGGTAACTAACTATATAACAGGATTCTAATGGGATCAAATTGAATAATGTATTGAGGGTGTTTTCTTGACTATAATATAGCTCACATTTATGGGCTCTTTTACTGTTCCAGGCACTGTTTAAAATACTTACATATGTTAAGTCATTTAATCCTTACGACAATCCTAAGAGGTAAATGCTATTGTTATTCTCATTTTACAGATGTAAAAACTGAGGCACCAAAAGGTTAAAAAAAAAAAAAATTGCCTATTTAACAGCACTGGCATTTGAAAGCAGGCAATCTGGGTCCAGAGTTTATGCTTACATCCACTATAATTGGTGTTCAGCTAATAGACTGTAATCCCAAGAGGGCAGAATCCATAGTAGGTACTTTGGGATTCTGCCCTCAGTTAATGTACATTGCAAAGACACCAAAGTAGAATGATCATACCTAGTGCCCAGTCTTAGTCTCTAATACCATTCACTACTAACTGGAAACAGGAGTCCTTGGAGAAATGGCTGATTCTAGAGCTAGAGCAGGGTAGGCACAAGGTGAACAATGAGCATCATTTTTTGTGGCAGAAATTAAGGAAAGACTCAAAAATATGATGGAGCATGTCACAAAGACAAAAAAGTCAGCTTTAAGAGGCTCCCACTTAGGGACCAAATTAGGAACAATGTAATTTGAGCACTAAAATAACTAAGGAC